GGGCTAGTCAACGCTCTTCTGTTGGCTGGCGAACGCGTTAGATTAATTTCCAAAGGCTGTCATTAAAATTCCAGCGCAATGCAATTTATATGCCACACACATGCCAATGCGGCTTAGGCCAAGACTCGGGCATCAGGCAATTTTTAATAAAAACAGCTTCATATTTATGATATCAGAATATGGCCAAGAAAACGGGCATTGGAGACAGTGTTGTCTCTAAGCCAGACCACGCGCCGCTCGTTAGCGGTATGGCTATGGATATGGTTATAGATATGGAGATGGGGTTGGGGGTTTGGGGATCTTAGTAACTGAACTGGAGGATCGACGACTCCGGGAGAGACAACATAATCATCAACAGCGGACCGCCACTACTCGTCGTCGTGGGCTGTTGAAATTTGCATGACAAACTCAAACTCATCCATCAATCATGCAGTCCCCAAACTTCACTTCGAGTGCAGCTCACATATTTTTGAGAGTTTATTTGTTTGTGTGTGTGTGAGTGTGTGCCACAAGTTGCAGTTGCATTTAGCAGCTGCTGCAAACTCGTTAGGAACCCACAATTTCACTTTTAATTACACAGACTACGGACGGCTAATCCCTCAAGCCGATTTTATATAACGCATATGCCCCATTGACAGCGGGAGATGCTTGAGATTGCATGGCGAGAAATTAGAAATAATAGTTATTTAAGAAAATATTTAATAATATAATAAAAAAGATTAAAAATCGAAAATGGGAATAAATTTCTTAAAAAGAATCTTGGTGTTTATGAAAGTTAACTTATTTTTAGATAAAGATGCCAATAAAATTTATATAAAAACTCATTTAAAGATCTTTTTAATGCTTATCCTATTTATTTATATAAATATTATACTTAATTTCTCCGTGTGTAGGCGATAGCTCCGCTTAGCGCAAATTTTCACTTGTCTTTTGCATAATTTAGACAAGCTGAATGGTCGATGGAGCGATGGAGCTACGGATCGGTGGTTTGGTGGAGAGGGATGGTGGCTATAGAGTGACTGCCTGGGGCTGCAACACGGGCGGCGCCGTAAAATCAATTTGCAGCCACGCACTGCGTTATCATGGGATGGCACCAGAGTGCGTAGCGCCACCTGTCGTCGCTCGTTAGCGTCATCGTAAATAATTTGAATCCTCCGATTTTCTTTCCCCTCCATATTTTTGCTTCTCAAGTACTTGTTAGTTACTGATTTTTTTGTTTTATAAAGGGGATATATGTATGGTATGGTAGTGTAGTTTTTTTTCTCTTTAGGCCATTGCAAAAGCTATGCAAATTTATGACTGTCAGCGGATCACGGACGGCGTCTACGTTTCCTCGTTGGTCTCTGGGGGAAGTGATAACGAAATGACCATAATGGCCATTAGGGGCAGTTGCAAGTTGCCTTTTGTTGTTGTTATTGTTGGCGGGGCACACGGCACACGATGTATACTCTGATATATCCCACTGTGCCACGAAATGCATTTTCTACTTTTCTATTTTCCACCAAGAGGCACCGAAAAAAGAAAAGAAAAAAACAAAACAAGGCACACAAAATAATTGTAAATCGCTAGATTTATGACCAAAAAACATAGCCACGAATTATGACGCCGGCCACAGGTGGAAATCGCATGCTGATTTCAACTTGATTTGCTTGCCATATAATTGCAAATTGTATTTGTTTAAACACGTACACATGTTGCCCGTTGGCTGTGTTTTTCTCTCTGTTAGCCCGTAAGAAATCGGCGTCCAACCGGCGTATGTTGCATGTTCAAAGTTAGCTGTGTCCGCCAAATCTTTTGTTGTTGCCCCACGCCCACACCACAGTCAGCTCAATTCAAAATGTTTCGAGACAACTTTGAACGATTGCTTGACGTGTTTTTCTTTTTGGCCAAGAGCAGTCGTCGACGAGGTGCATCTCCGCCAAGTGCCCGTTGTTAACAAATTATTTTTTTTTATTAATTTCGGGGCTGTCTGTTTTTTAATGAAATAATCAACTCGTAGAGTAAAGTATATAATTTTGAGATATTTGGAAATGGAGGTTGTTAGCGCTGTCCTTATAAAGTGATTAGGGGAAATGGCCCGAGGATTGCAAAAAAGGCAAATATTTGAAGAAACGCTGGCCATAACTCTTAGTATTATTAAAGTTTTCTTAAAGTGTTAGTTTAAAAAAAAGACTCAGCCTTAACCCCTGGCTGATACTCATACTGAAAATAATATTGCGCTTTCTACCAACTCTTGGGGGAATCTAAATCTTCCCAAGTATCTCATTTCACATTTTACCGCCAGTTGGGATTGCTCTTGAAAGTTATCATAACTCGCGTTGGCCAGAAAGAGAGTCTTCAAATTATGATTGGATTTGGCTTGCGCATAACCAAAACTGCAGCTGCGACCTCGAAGAGGTAGAGTGAGTCCTCCATCCCCGATCTTTGGATACCCAATTCCAGAATAGCATCCAATTTCGCCCCCGGGGGCATTTGCCACGTGCGTGCTCCATTTCTTTTTAGCTTTCGGCCAAAAGGTGCCAATGTGGCAAATGTTTTGTGCTTAACATTTTTATGGCTGCCATAAGTTGGCCGTAGTGTGGTAAATGCTGCTGCTCCAACTGCCACTTGGCCAGAAGCCACTGACCGCAGGCCAAACCTATGGCAACTCGAACCGGATCGTGTCTTGACACTTGAGGTATCGGTTTCATTAGCGAAATGTTTCCGTAAGAATGCCAAAAGGTCGCAATTGATGCCATTTACAAGGCGATTGCCATGGTCATGTGTGTTTTCTACACCTATTTCCAAGGAGGAGGAGTAGCAATTCGAATCGTATCGGATCGGTTTGGTTATTAGTCGTGTATTAGGTTTCCCCTAGCCGCTTCTTTCTTATCCTGGCCAGGCATCGGAGGCGATTTGTTAACCTACCGCGACTCAATAAATTTATCAAATTGAAAAATTCGCAATCGAAATCAAATCAAAGCGAACAGCGAAGGGGATTCAAAGGAGTGTGTGTGTTGATTTTTATGGAATTGTGGGGGAAAACAATTCGGCAAATCGCTTTGCAATCAGCAGCAACGGATTTAGCCCAGCCCAAGTAACAGCCCGCTAACTCTGATGGTTGGGTACACTGTCAGGAAAAACTAATTAAAAGTTAAAAGATATGTATAGAAGGAATTTTCTCTATTCGCAGAGATTTTTCAAGTTAAAGAAGAAGAACTAAAAATTGTGTAAACTTCATCTTTTATCTTTTTCCGAGGAGGGACATTTTTCCAGAATCCAATCTAGTTTTTCCCATGTTCTTTTCATCGGTAAAAATTTCTAGAAATTGAAGTTACATTTTTCTAGGTGCAGCGGTATCGCATACAAACGACTTGTGACAAAATGACGAAATTTATGTTACTTTTTTGCATCGGCAAAGTGCAAACCGTTGCCGCTTTCTGCGGTGCGGTGTGCGGGTCACGGGGCAGGTGGGCAGTCTGTCAGCAACAAATGCAAAGCGCCAAAAACTGCGACACTTTGTATAAATTGTGTTGAAAACAGCAGCAGCAGCAGAAAAGGCAGCAACAGCAGCGGGAGCAGCAGCTCAGCTCAGAGCCAACTTCATAGTCTGTCGAAGGCAATTCCTGAACTGAGCTGAGTTGCAACTGGCCAGTGCCACACCCCCTTGGGGCAAATGCAACAAATTATTGTCATCAATTTTTAGATGCAAAGCTTGAGGAGTGACATTTATTGAAGTTTGGATGGAAGTTTTGGAGTCCACCAGCAGCGTTCGAGCGAGCAGGGAGCCGCTGGCCAGGCTCAGTTTTGGTTCAGACGGTTCAGGACGTGATTGCTCCACATTGCAGGCGGCTGGTAATGTTGATGATGATTATAGGCACGGTCCGCCATGGTTTGTTACAGTCTACACTGAAGAATATTGTAATATACAAAAGTTTAAGGCTAAATAACGTTATTAAGAAAGTAAAGACTTAAATTAGAGTTTTGCAAGAGTTCGAGAAGTTTTTTCTCGGTGCAACCCCGTCTTGGTTAGTTCCTGGCCAGTTAGGAGTGACACGTTCGCCGCTGATTGCTAGGAAACGATGGCAACAAGTGGCCATCGGCTGGCCATCCACTTAAATGAGTTTCTGGCTGGAAGTTTTCTGCCTGCTTTTGTTTCACTTTAACTGCGTTTTTCCCTCAGATTTTGGTTTTCAGTTTCTGGCAAAGCTGCTTCATTAGCAGCTTGCTAGTCCCCTCCCCATGGAAAAAAAGTAAAAGCCAAAAAGTTATGACCATATTTGTGCTAAATTATGAGGCCCTTTCATAAATCAGACACTCGGCAGGCACAGCCGTGGCGACCTAGCGAAAAATGCCAAGATTATGGTTGTGGCACCATTAGCCGTTAAGCTGCTACGGGAAAACTGGCGCAAATGGTCAGTTTGGCTTTGGAAAATTTTGCATTGTGCCCGAGAAAACTCACTGGACAATTGCAAGTGCTCGACTTACTTTAAACTGTGCCATTTATCATATGCGGAAAATATTTTGTCAGTCCGCTTTTGGCCTTTTGCCATTTTCACCATTTCCATTTGGCCATCTTTCGCTTTTCAATGAGTAAACTGAATCTCTGTACTGGTCGGTTATGTCGGGACTGCTACCGTTTTTGGCTATAAGTTTATGATGCGGGGGAGGCTGGGAGGGCTTAACGGGGGAGCCGTTACAGTTGGCTCGTGCATGTCTCGTGGCCAGCAAACAATAACCAAACGAACAACTCTGGTCAACAGAAAGCCTCGAAACAGTCGGATGTACGATCACTTACATTACGGTTCCAGTTGTGAATTTCAAACACATACCGGGATATGAGTTACTTTCCTGGGGCTGTGTCTCTCCTGCCTCCATTCAAATGGAACGGGGCCATGATCTCTGGAGTAGGAAGTTTTCTGGTGGCGCAGAAACAATTACCAGGTTGCCGGTGTCAGGAGTAAGTAAGGACACTCCAGGCTAACTGCTCAGGAAAGTGGGTCGACTGCGACTATGCAAATGAGTTATGGCTTTTACGATTACCAGCAATCATAAAAAGTTTTCTCTTAGGTTCCATGATATTTTTTCTAAGAAAAGTAATTAAAATGTTTGAAGTTTGAATAAAATTGATTTTAAGAACTGTTTGGTATTTAAGTTTAACAGATATATGCAATATATTTTCTACAATCATTTTAAAGTTTCGAAAAATCCATTTAAGTGATGAAAACATACTTCTAAATAACCTCCAACTGTCGCCATGTTCTCCAAACTGGGTTAAGTGAAGTTTCTGCATTGCAAAAGATTACTATATAAGAATGTGCCTGGGCACTTATGAACTTTGGGGCTCTTCTCGCTAAATTGACATCGCATACGCAACCCAGGCCAGCCAATTAAAGACTCTACGTGACCTCCACTCAAAAAAAAAAAAAGAAAAATGAGAAACAAAACTAAAGATAAAGGCCGAGTAACCAGCCCTGCCATGTTGAGCTTTCCACGCTGCCACTCTTTTTGTGTGCGAGATACGCGGTATGTGCAGCTAATTGACCAGCCCCAGACGATGATGCACTTCATCAAAAAAATCCAAAAAAAAAATATGCCAAAAAAGCAGAAGCAGCAACCCGAAATGACAAAAAACCCAAAAAAAGAGCGAGCGAGTGAGTGAGACTTACTCAAGTGGCGGGGCATTACGTCAACGTCAACTCAATTTGGCGGACAACAGCAGCATGGGGCAGAGAGTCTACACATGGGAATCCAGAGGATGGAGATCGGGGACTTGGAGGAGCCAGACTACGGGTCAAGTGCTGACGCATCAGCCAAATCCATTGAAGTGCACCAAAACATATAAATGCTTGAAAAATATAATGAGCGGAGTGGATGCTGTGATGTTGTTGGCAGCATCATTAAGACCGATCATCTGTCAGGCAGTTCGAATATGAATGAGATTTGAGCTTGGCTTTAGCCTCGCCATTGTTTAGCATTCAATGAAATTATAACTTTATGGTTTTGTTAAAAATAATAAGTGTTTTAAGGTTATAATTCAAACATAAAGAAACATGAACTCTGGGAACTATCTTGAAGTCGAAAACTTTAAATATTTTGAACTTGTCTGTAAACCAGTCAAAAAAATCATTTAAAAATGTAATTTTACTATCTGCTTGATCTTTAAAATTTCACAATCCTCTATAAAGAAATGAATTCTAAAAAAAATACGCCTAATTTTCACATCAATTAACAATTAGCCAGACATTTTATACTTACGCTTAAGCTGTAACTAATGGCCATAGTAAAACTTCTTTGAAGTTTCGAGTCAATCGACTACCAGATTTCTACCAAGTACTCATTATTTGCTACTTCTATAAGAATATTTTATTGCTCATATCGAATAACCAATAATCGAACGTTTTTTTATGAAGATACCAGCTCCTAGGAACTTAACACCCGCTTTATGTGGTCTTCAAAAAGTCAAACGACGGTGTGGGCGTCTTTAGCTGGTCATAGAGACCCCGGCGAAGATGTCTTCATCACAATTGGTGTTGGTCTTGCTGGCGGCATCAATAGTTGGCTTTATGGCTTTTCATGTTGACCATAAAGCATACTGTTATCTAGCTTTTTGTGGAACAGGGAGAAGGATATTTTATTTTATGATTAGCTTAGAGCGGAATAGAGCGGACAGAGGACTAACCTGAAACCTTTATTGCGTGAGGAGATTGGCCAGATATATGTAAGACATATATCATAACTTAGTTTATATCATATAAGTACTTCCTCTTTGGTCTGAGTTAGCCAAGTCTTACTGTAACTGCATTTTGAGTGCCTTACAAAAACCTTTCGTGTTGTGAGAAATAAATCAAAAGATTGTCGCGACACCTCTCTCTCCCTTGAGAGTAGTTAATGTCAGTTATTGGACTAACATATAAGCGGGAAATGGAAAATCCTTTCCACATTCAACATGGGTCTGTTGCACCTTCTGTTAGTTACTTTGCTGCTTCTAAGTCCTGGCAGGGATTGCTCTGTTCCTAATCTACTTTATCATCTGATTAAAGAACTCAAATTTGAACATGCTCTTTTAATGGGCAATTCGGATTTGATTTGGCTGGAAGTCTTGTGGAAAGTTCCTGTTCCCATAATCCAAATAGAAGAGCAGCCAAAGGTTAACTATAGTTTGGGTGAATATCATTCCCACAACTTTCTCACCATTGCTTTTGTGAATGAATCACCGGAAGAAATACTGGATGTCTTGTACTTGAATCTACAAATGTTAAATACTCGGAAAATTCTGTTGGTTCTCAAAGAAAAGAAAATTCGGGTTTATTCTCTTTTAGAATGGTTCTGGAAACATCAACTGCTCAATGTTGTGGCTATTGGCGAGGACTTTGAGGTGAGATTTATTTAATTTAATAGCTTAAAGATTATTTTATGTTTCTTCGTTTCTCTGGCTAACATTTTTTTTATCAAATAATAGTTTGCCTTTATGTTTGATTTTTATATAATCACTTGATAGATGTTTCACCTTAGGTTCATCTTTTTCATCTTCTAAAGCATTACAATGAATTTTGCATTCATCTTTTGTTTCAAAACGATTTGGATTTCCTCCACAGCCTCCGTAAATAAATTTCTTGCAGCGATTATTTTCAAAGTCATAGGCAAACATTTCTAAATGTCCTTTACAAGGACCAGGATTTGCGATGAACGAACATATTTCTTAGGATTAAGACGCATTATTTGTGTGTTCTTAAAGTACTTCATTAACTTACCTTGACGGCGAGCTTTGGAGGTCCCAATTACTATTAAACAAATCAATAATTGAAAAAGCAGAAGCCTACACATGACTGTGAAATAAATTTATTATTTTATGTTCTAAAAACCAACAATTTTTATTCTGAAATATTAATCACACGCCCTTTGTGATACTTTTTTATATATTTCCAGGAGTCTTTGATCCTCTACAGCTACACACCCTTTCCCATCTTGCAGTTCATTGAAAGACGTATGGAAAATTCTACCAAACTATTTGAACCACGTTTATCAAATCTTCAAGGCTATAAGTTACCCATTGCCTTGGGTGGATCTTCACCACGTTTGATTGTGTTTCGTGGCTTGGATGGTAAATTGATATATTCCGGACCTGTGGGTAACCTAATGAAATCCTTCGAGCAACGTTTTAACTGCAAACTAGTTCAGCCATATCCCTTCAATGAGAAAGCCATTCCGCCAGCTCTTGAACTCATAAAGGCAGTGAGAAATGGTAGTGTACAATTTGCACTGGCAGCTACATATGCCTATAAACCATTTACTGACTATTCATATCCCATTGAACTGATGAGCTGGTGCCTGATGATGCCGATTCCATCGGAGGTTCCTCACAGTCAGCTGTACAGTATGGTTTTTAGTCCCATGGCATTTTGGATTACTCTGCTTGTCATGATGGTGATTTCTTTAACCCTATCCATCGCACTCCGTCTCCATGGATATCGAGTCACTTTTAGTGAGTTTTTCTTGCATGACAGCTGCTTGAGAGGAGTGCTATCCCAGACTTTCTACGAGGTACTTCGAGCTCCTCCTTTGATAAGGGCTATATACCTAGGGATCTGCGTACTTGGACTACTGATCACCTCTTGGTACAACTCCTACTTCTCCACTTTTGTGACCAGTGCCCCAAGACTGCCTCCAATTACCACTTTTGAGAGTATCAAGAACTCCAACCTTAAGGTGGTCATGTGGACACCGGAATACAAAATGTTGCTTTACCTATCGGAAAACATGGAAAAGTATTCATCTATCTTTAAGTTGGAAGATAACTACAAGGAGTTCTTACAGTTGAGGGATTCATTTGACACCAGATTTGGCTATGTTATGCCCATAGAGAAGTGGGCACTGATGAATGAGCAGCAGAAGGTCTTCAGTTCACCATTGTTTAGTTTGCAAGAGAATCTCTGTTTCTATCACACCATCCCCGTAGTTTTTCCCATTATGAATAATTCTATATTCAGAGAACCTTTGGAGAGCCTCATTTTGGATGCGACTGCCACGGGACTGCTAAGTAGATGGCGTGACATGACGTTTACGGAACTGATCAAGGCCGGTCAACTGGCTCTTGTAGATCGGGGTCATCCAAAGGCCTTTCGGGCTATGAAAGTGAAGGATCTGGAAAAGATTTGGGTTTGTGGTGGATTCATGCTTGGCCTAGCAACATTTGTTTTTCTTCTGGAAATAATTTGCTTCTTTAGGTATAAAATGTGCACAAAAATAATAAATATTTTTAAGCGTAAACATTAAAGAACATTTTAAGTCTAGAAATAAAAACTAATAAATAACTTTGTATGCCCTTAACATCAAAATAAACTGTTTCATGAAATAAAACGATTTTAAAAATATTCAAAAATGTTTTTCTTTTTTTATAAAATCCCAAAAAGTATTATTTTTTTCTTATGTTCAACATTAGCTAACGACAACTTTTCAAATCGAAGCAATAGTTCTTAGTTTTATTCGTAAGACCTGCCTGGGTAACTGCATGGACTGTGACATCATCGAAAGCTTATACAAATTTCATGCTGATATCATATATGTTTTGAGAATAAAACTAAACTAACGGCTCTTCTAGCTTTCGTTTTTGTTTTTATCAGCAATTACTTAAACGCTTTGGCAAAGAAGAAGGGAAAGGTGAGAAGGGAGAAACAAAACAAAAGATCTTTGCTAAGATAAGCTTTGATTCACTCTTTCCGAACAGCGCGTAAAAATTCTCTACCCATTTTTTCAGAATTCAGTCTTTGCCGGTAGCAATACTAGATAACATTCATTCGTGGTTTTTCTTCAAAAAAGTGCTTAAAAGTGTATAAAAGTTGTTGTTGTAAAATTGTTGTAAAAATACAAATAAAAGTAAAAAGTGCATGGTTACGCGTCTACATATTCATGCATAAAACGATTTTGTTTTTAATAAGTGTTAGTTAGTGTAAAATTAATATATAAAAAGAAATTCCATTAAAGTGTTTCAAATTTGATAAAATATATGTTATTTTATTCCAAGTTTTTTTTTTTGGTTTTTTTTTATAACAAAATAAAAAGTGGGGCTCCAATGCCAAAGTGGAAATGTGTCTCTGTGCCCTTTATGGTAGTAACATATATGAAAATATGAGAAATAAACGCAGCGGAAGAAACGGAAGTGAAAATTGGAAATGCGACGTATTATTAGGAAAATCGAGGTAAAACAGTACAATACCTAACTAAACCCAATAAGAAATTTTTTGTAATATGGACAATCCAGGCAAGTAGCCTTAAAATCTATTTTTATTATATTTATGTTACATATTTTTGCATTGATATTTATTTCGGTAAAATCGAAAGAGTGTTTATTTATTGTTTGTTTTGCCAATCATATTACTGACTGCAAGTTATATAGTTATGGACATAATACTATGACTTTGAGTAGAATATCGGGGATAACCAAATTTCGCATTTTCGAAATTTTTCATTTTTCATCAAAATTTCGAAATAATGGCTAAAATTTGACATTTTAAACTGAAAATGCAGTTCTACTAGGAATTAGAAGGCAATCTCATAGAGGTATGACATTGTACATTCGGACCATTATTGTCTAGGTTATGGACTTTACATTAAAACTTTCAGGAGAAAATTGGGGATAACCGAAATTTCATTTTCGTTAACAAGAAAAACGTAATTTTTTGCGTAAAGGCCAATATTTGACATTTTACACTGTAAATACAGTTCGAATAGGAATTTAATTTCGAGTTTAACGAGGTATAACATTCCATATTCAGACCATTATTGGCTTAGTTATGGGCATATTTCTGAGACTTTGAGGAGAAAATCTGAGAAAACCAATATATATTTTGAATAAGGGGTAAAATCATCTGTTTTTGCAAAAAATGGCCAAAATTTGACATTTTAAACTGTGCAGTTCGACTAGGAATTAAAAAACAAGCTCATCGAGGTATGACATTCTATATTCTGACCATTATTGGCTGAGTTTTGGACACATGCACAGAAAGAGGAAATGAAAAACGGAAATGAGAAGCTCAATTGTCAGCAAAAGCTGATAGATATTAAACCTTGTAAATACCAGAAAATTAAGGTAAGTGGACCTCATAAATGTTTTTCTGTTGCTATTTATTTCTTATTTACATGATTCAAACCAAATACACTATACATATATGAAACGATTGATTGTGATTTTTCCCTATAGCAAGACAGATTTGTTGGTATTTATATACATATTTATATTCTTTTTAAAATGTTTATTTATACACTGATATGAGAAATTTTCGTCCCAAATGAATTTCAAATTATTCTTTATGGCTGTATGAATTTTATTGAAATTTTTAAAAGCAGAAAACTGAAGGAATCAAAATTGGCTAACAATGTCAAAAGTTATTGCAAGTTTGTTAGGCAAAATCATTAATTCTTCTTTCTTCTTATATCAATAACTAAGGACGTAATAAGAAAAAACTTCAACTTCAATGTTAATTTCCCAATCAAACTTGATTGAGGTTGTTTGAGTTGTTTTTGTGCAATCCCAAGGGAAATGTTTTTCGGTTGTCGTTTTTTCGCCCGCGACTTGTTAACGTGTGCTGCTAATTGGAATTAACCATTAGCCACGTCGTCGGCGGATTCATTAGCAACCCTTTAAATGTGCAGCGGCATCAATCAGTGTCATGCAGTTGTCCCTCGGCCATCGTGATGGATTGCCCAATGTGGATCCTGAGCGGCGTTTGCCTGATTACCCTGGTCAGTGGCGCAACGGTAATTGAATTACTGGCTGGGATCAAGATGGAGTCGGACTGTCAGTACGTGCTGGTCATGAAAAATAGGAACTACAGTCTATCAGATCAAACATGGAATGACAGTGTGTTGGTCAAGGATATTATGGAAAAAGTACAAGTTCCTGTTCTTCAGTTAAATGAAAATGTGTCCTACTTTTTGCATAATAGCATTAGTAGACATCTTGTTTCCTTGGTGTTTATAAGTAATGGAAATCTGCATGAGCATGGAGGTCTAATTCAAGCTCTGGTAGCAAATCTCAGGCATATGACCACTTCTAGAGTGATTTTTCTTATGCAAACGGCGGTGTCGACTGAAGTTCTCTATGAACTATTTAGGGATTGCTGGCGGAAGAAGCTATTGAATGTGATGGTTATCTTTGAGGATTTCGAGGTGGGTGAGAAATCTTAAAGACTTATAATCTCAATACTCCAAATATATCTTATTTACCTCCCAGACAACTTCAACCTTCTATAGCTACTCACATTTTCCCATTCTACAAATAGAAGAGCGCATCTATGAGGAAAGCCAGCAAACTTCACTGATTTTTCCCGATCGTCTGAGGAATTTCCATGGCTACCAAATGCCCGTGATTGTTGCAGGAACTGCACCGCGTATTATAGCCTATCGGAATAAAAAGGGTAATGTGGTCTATGAGGGCACTGTGGGTCATTTCATGATGGCCTTTCAACAAAAGTACAATGTGAAATTTATACAGCCCCTGCAGCCCAAAAATCCTTTGCATTTTCTTCCTTCGATGCAAACAGTTCCTGCAGTGCGAAATGAAACAGTGGAAATATCAATATCCCTGACTTTTCCAACGATACCACCATTCGGTTTTAGTTATCCTTACGAACAGATGAACTGGTGCCTCATGTTGCCGGTGGAGGCTGATGTGCCACCTTTTGAGTTTTATACGAGGGTTTTTGAACTGGCTGCTTTTCTGTTGACTTTGGGAACTCTTGTGATGATATCCTTCCTCCTGGCCAGTACTTTGCGACTTCATGGTTATCCAACAAACATCAGTGAGTTCCTACTCCATGACAGCTGCTTGAGAGGAGTTCTAGGGCAATCCTTCGTGGAAGTGTTCAAAGCTCCCACTCTAGTGAGAGGTATTTACCTGGAGATTTGCTTACTGGGCATCCTGATCACTGCCTGGTATAACTCCTATTTCTCCAGCTATGTGACCACCGCACCCAAGGAACCAGCATTCAGAACTTATGATGATATTTTGGCCTCTAAACTTAAGGTAGTAGCTTGGAAGCCGGAATATGCAGAGCTAGTTGGACGTCTCCTAGAGTTTCGGAAGTATGAGAAAATGTTTCTAGTGGAACCTGACTTTAATCGGTATCTGGAACGTCGGGACACGATGGACATACGATATGGCTATATGATAACCACCAATCGGTGGGTTTTGATCAAGGAACAGCAAAAGGTATTCTCACGACCACTTTTCCAGAAACGCGATGACTTTTGCTTTTTCAACAATATACCTTTTGGATTTCCCATACATGAAAACTCAGTTTTTATGGAACCAGTCCTAAAGCTAATCATGGAGTTGGCCGAAACAGGATTAACATTTCATTGGATGGCCACGGGATTCTCGGAGCTTATAGAAGCCGGAGAGATGCACTTCGTGGACTTGAGTCCTCATCGGGAGTTTAGAGCTATGCAAATTCAGGATCTTCAGTATGTTTGGTATGGCTTCGCCTTCATGGTGGTATTCTCTTCCCTCGTTTGGCTACTGGAAATCCTAACCCATAGGCTGAAATCTTCAACCATTTTCTCACGACCTTTAATGTTTCGAAAGCGAAAATAAAAGAGCACCGCGCCAAGCTTGTTTATTGATTTTATGAGCGTAAAATTATAGTTAAAGATACTAAACATAAATTGATTTCGGTTTAGTTGCTGTAGAGGGTTAGCTCCCTAAACAAAAGGGAACCTTCGCTATATTTTTGTTTTAATGACTACACCACAGAGTGCCAGCTGGTTTATGGTTATTTGTGTAGCCATCAAATATGACTTTCCTTTCGTTGAGCTTACCCCACTCGGGGATCGGATGTTCCCGATTTCCATTGTGCAAATATTTGCACAGCAGCTCCAAAGACGGCTCAAAGTTCAACATCAAAAGCAATTAAGACGCGTGCTTGCCGCAGTGGCAGCTGAACACTGAACAGTGAACACTGAAACACTGAATACCCAGTGTTTGAGCTCCCCCAAAGGTGCGCTGATGTTAGCCACCTGTGCGACGGCAACTGGCGCCTCTTGAAATTCCCTAATCGACATGTTTCGATCTCAAACGACGTGGCCGGCAGTGGAGGCATCACCATCAGCGGTACACGGTTAGAAAACATTGGGTTATTTAAGTTTTTCGTTTAGTGATAGAAAAACTTGGGGAAATGCAAAATTTGAGATTCCGTTTTTGGTGGTTTTTAAATTTTGAGTTAATTTTCTGAACAATTTGTTTATATTTTCTCTCAGTGCTTAAGTCGTGTTTCACCGATCGTGGAGTGAAAAATTTTCTCTAATCTACGCTGATGGCACGCATTTGTTGCTCCCCGCCAAACGATGCCGGCAGTCTGGGGCCGGGTACTTTGATTTTGACTGACAAGTGCCGCCTGCCTGCTGATGTGGCTGCTGTTGCTGTTGCAGTTGTTGTTGTTGTTGTTGTTGCTGTTGCAGTTGCTGCTGCTGCTGGTGCTGGTGCAGTTGCAATACGTTGTTGACATGCGCAGCTGCATGCGCTTTCATGTCCGCTCAGCTCCTTTATTGGAGAAAATTATTTCAGACCTCGGCCAGACCCATCTGCCATCTGCCATTGGCATAGCCATCAGCATAGCCATCTCCATTCCCGTAACGAGCTAAAACTAATTAACCCACGACAGACCCAAACAGCGGACACGGGGTGCATCTTAATTGTCAATAAAACGTTTTAGATTTCTTTATTTTTAATGCTTGCAATACTAAAAAAATTAATGCAAAACTTAACTGCAGATGAATGTGTGTGTGTGTGTGTGTGGCTTGTTGTGTTTTGTGTTTTTCAGTGTGTGTGTGCATAAATAATAACTAACAAAGATTTAACTAAGATTTCAATGTGTGACTTAAACTAGACTTGGATATAAACAAGGATCGTTCTCTCTATGTACAGTAAATACATACTAATAAGTTCAATAAATTAGCCAAAAATACTCGTATTGCAAAAGTGTAAACAGTTAATAACGTTGATCGTCCGTCGTTAGAAAACGGTTACATAAACCCAAACACCATTGAAGTTATTTTTTGCGTAATCTAAAAACTATTGTCCATTTAAAACTATCACAAAATAATTGGCAGTTTAATTAACCACTAACTACGGCTGATTTATCAGTTAGCTTAGCCTAAATGGGAGATAGGGGGGTATACTATATATATATATTTAATTATAGGGATTTCGCGCCTTAGTTATATTCGTTTATCAAATACAAAAATAATGGCAAGTGCAAGTTGAGTTGCTGAACATATGGTGTGTGTGTGTGTGTATGTGTGTGTGTGTGTTTACGAGTATTTAAACATAGTTAATAAAAGTATTAATGCTTGTGCCCCTTAACTTGTTGAATGCCTTTTCTTGAAGTTGGCTAACACTCGGCCCAAGAGATCAAAGAGATCCTTGAAGGAGAAAAAGGAGCGGGAATTGGCTGTAGGATGAGCTCCGGAGGATGCGTTTCGAATTTAGTGCCTCGGGTCAGTGTACCTTCCTCAACTTTTTTGGCATTCCGTCTGCTTTTGCTTAGAACTAAAATGTAACTAACTTGATTTATATATAATATATATATTTATGTATATATATACATTAACACTAGCAAACAAAATTTATGCTAATTTGGGCAAAGCAACTAAGAAAACAAATACTTTCAATTTACAGGAAACACTGGGCTAGTTGAAGATTCTGCTGGTGATTAGAAGGAGTTTTTTTCGTAATTTATTTTTCTATATTTTGTTATTTTGGGAAAGTATTCTTTAAGAAATTCTGTTGTTGTTTTTTTTTAACATATAGCAAGGAAGCGTTTTGGCCTCTTTTTGATATCACCACTCGTGGAATTGCTTCATTAGCTTCGTTACACTTCTACTTTCTATTTTCGCCTAGCATATCGTTTATTTTAACTTTAACTTTAACTTTATTAAAATCTTCAAAAATTTGGCACATTTAAAATTTAATTTTTTTTTTCTTTCGTTTGTTTTTAGTATGTAAATGTACATTATTGAGTATTGTTCTTTATTTGGAAGTGCTTCGAGTGTGTGTTTTGTGGGCATTTATATATAGGAATTGCACAGAAAGCTGAAATAGGAATTCATCAATGACGTAAATTCGAGTTTGGGAGTACGAGTATTTAGGTAAATTAGAGTAGTAAAAATAGTTTCTCTACAATTTCATTATCTTTCTTTTCTTTTGTTGTGTGTATTTTGTGAGTTAAGGAACAAGAAATAGTTTAGCCGGGTTAGTGTTTACTATCCCGCTGCCGGTGATCACTACCGATTGGCCAGGAGTCCATTGGCAGGCGGTAGTACTACGCCGGGTGGTGTATTGGGATTGCTGATCATCACGGGTAGGGAAGCTGGCACCACTCCTCCGCCAAGTTGCTGTTGTTGTTGCTGCTGCTGCTGTTGTTGTTGTCGCTGGTTGAGAGAGGCATTTGCTGATCCCGAAGAGGATCCACTGGATCGTGGATGCTTTCCTGATCCTCCCTTAATTAGGTTTCCATTGTTCTTCTGGGTCATGTGCGTCTGATAGTGCTTGGCCAGGTGAGCCTTCTGACGGAAACTTTTGCCACAAAGTGAGCAGGCGAAGGGCTTCTCCCCCGTATGAGTACGTATGTGGACATTCACAGAGTACTTATCCTTGAAACCCTTCGAGCAGATGGAGCAGTAGTGCAGGGATCGCTCTTTCCGTTGGGCACTGCCCGACGAGGAGGATGAACTGCCGCCGGAGTTGGCAGGCGGACTGTTGCTGCTGCTACTGGCACTGCCACTTGATGATGAGCTGCCACTCCCACTGCCTCCTATTAAGGGATTGCCCCCGCTGCTCTGGTTGTTATTGGCCACATTGGGATTATTGTTATTGCTACTGCTGCGCTTGTAGGCCTTCTTGGGCTTGGTAACTCCTCCTCCGCTTCCGGATCTGACATGGCTGCTGGCGACGGAAACGACAACCGCCGATGAAGGGGATGTGGAAGTACTAACCTCTGGTTTCAGTGGTTGTGGTGGTTGTAATTGTCCCGCTGAGGTTACCCCCGGACTGGGTGAGATTTGCATGAGGACATCACCGGGTTGACCATAATCCCCAGGAGTTGGTGTCCCTGCAGAGCCAGCACTACAAAACTGCTGCACTTCATTGGCTATGCGTTTGATTTTCTCGAAATCATCACTAAAGGCATTTTCTAGGGAAAGGAACATGTCATCCACCAGGATATTGGCATTGCCATTATGTTGCTGTTGTTGTTGCTGGATACCCTGATGGATACCCTGAGCCTCGTCGAACATCTGGGCGGCACTTAGGGTGGAGTCCGCGAAGCCCAGAGCAGCTGCCTCATCGGCAAACAGCAAGCGTCGCATATCCTCATCTTTAACCACTGGCATGGCTAGGCCATTTTGCATATGCAATCCCTTGCCATAACCTTTGCCCTGCAGAGCACTCCTCAGCAGCGATTCCGCCGTACTCTGCTCCGTTTCCGTATTATGATCCGCCATATGCCAGTCGTTGTTGTTGTTTTGGAATTGAGCCAACTGTTGGCCTAAATCATTGCCACCCGCCAAGGAAATGGCCGTGACCAGCGAGGGCAGCGTCTGTTGCGTCTGTTGACCCTGATTTTGAGCCTGGGAAATACTGCTGAGACCATCCGTTCCATTGCCAATCACATCCTTGCCATCTGTACTAAAACCACTATCATCATAGGGATACTCTGATTTAATATAGCCAGGAAAACTGCCAAGCAAACTGTCCAAATCAAGAGAAGTGGGCAACTGCTCCGCCTCCGAGCGCTTTAGCCAGGGCTCTCCTCCGTTTAATACTGTCAGGGTGTAGATCTGGCCATCGGTGGTGTCCAGGCTGCTAATGGTATCACTGCTACTGCCCGCTCCACTAGAAGCCGCCGATGAGCTGCTCGCATTGGGTTGCTGTTGCTGTTGCTGCTGCAACTGCTGATGTTGCTGGTGTTGCTGTTGCTGATGGAGGTGGCCCTGCGGCGAGGTGGGACTGGGCTGATTGGTATTGGCGGAACCACCACCATTACTGGCGCTGGCTGTTACCGGCTGCTGTTGCCAGCAGTAGCGATCGAGGTCCTCGAATATCGAGCTAGAGTCGAGGCGACTGGTGTCCTTGTCCTGGTGCCAAAACTGGAAAGGGAAGAGAGAAGAGGGAAGGATGTTTTAGATCGATTGCTGTATTTTTAAAGGCTTTATTAAGTTTTTAAATTTAACAATTTAGCTGTAAATGACTTGCTCATTAACATACCTCGTAGCCCTGTAACGTGGGATCTCCGCCGTTGCTACTGCCATTGCGGTTGCCTACGGGCACCACGACGCCACCGCCACCGCCACCTGCACCACCAGCGCTGCCTCCACCACCGTCGTGGATCATGCTGCTATTGGTTCTCGCACCACTGCAGAGGCTCTGCTGTTGCGACTGTGACGTAATGGGCTGATGTACCACCTGTATGTGGTTGTTATTGTTATTGTTGTTGTTGTTGTGACTATGGGATGTCTGTTGATGATTCTGGTGATGTTGTTGTTGTGGCTGCTGATGCAGGCTAACACCGAGAGCCTCTACACCCACACCCACACCCACACCCACTCCAATGCCAATGCCCATGTCGGGACCAGTGACAAAGTCAAAGAAGTCCGCCTTCGAGAGATCCTCGGCACGAAAGGACTCACTAATGTCCATGCCAGCCGCTGCGGACATATCCTCGGTGCCGATCATTTGCTGAGCCTGAAGCGCCAGAGTAGCGCCTTAAAGAACCAGGAACTGGTTGAGTTTTCAGTTATGAGTTGAGCTGGGGAAGAGAAGAGGGTAGAGATGGGTTAATTATTATAATTTTTAATAAATTTTATGGCTTATTCTTAAGACTTAAACTACTTCTTGTATTAAGTGCAAAAATTCTTAAAATACCCCCCTAGCCTGTTTTACAACAGCTTCGATTTCAGCTACAAGTTTTGCTTTCAGTTTCAGTTTTAGTTTCTCAATTTCTCCAAAGACACTGATTTACACCCATACACACACCCGTCTAGATGGCTGCATTAAAAGTCACACCAATTGATTAAAGCCACTTGTCAGTTGGCCACTTAAGTCAATCAGTCATTCGCATTCGCATTGGCTCATTCTAGCCACATGGTCCGGGCCTGCATTCCGGCCATACTTGCATTTTAATTTGAGGCAGTCTCTCTCGGTCTGGTTGGCCTGGCTCTGACTCTGCCTCTGCTCTTAGCCCGGCTATCTGCAAATAAATAAATCAAACTGACAGAAGGGTGACAAAGTGTAAACACATTTGGCGTGCTCGACTCGTAAATCTCTCGGACTTTTTGGCTAATGCCAAATTCTGCCAACCTGTTGCTGTGACAGTTTTGTTTTTTGGTCAGCACTTTTTGTTTCAAGCCAGGCTTGTTTCAATTTGCATAGATTCGGCAAGTGCCCGGCATTTAGAATAGTTGCAGAAAAAAACAAGAAGGCTATAAAAAAGTGTGGCTACCGTGTAGCCCATATCGCTCGTACCCCTAAGGTGATCGAACTGACTGTGGCCTGTCTGTGGCCATTTCAGTTAGCATATCGCTAACGTACCCCCGAGTCGTGTTCTGGCCAAATGTGCCAAATGTTCAAATTGTCAAATTGATTCTACTCTTTTTTTTTGTTTTTTTTTTTGAGTTTGTTTGTGGTTTCCCTCCTGAAAAACTGACACCGACATCGAAACCGACTCCAGCGTGTGTATATGTATATGAAAAATGGACCTTATGGCCTGGCAGCGTGAGAACCACAAACAGAAATGACTTAACAAATTTGCATGGCAAAGCTCGAACGTAGAGCTACGCTGGGGCTTGCATACTTTAGATAAGGGCAGAGCGTAGAGAAAATGCCGCTGCTGGAAAATATTTCAGATGCTGCTGCTGTAGAAACTTTTAAGTGCAATATCTGTGGAGGGAATCAAGTTGGCGGGGGGATCTGGAAATAGCTAAGACAGGCAGCAGGTAGGCACTAAGAGAAATATTTCTAATAAGTTTTCTTAATAGGTGATTGTGGGAAACTTAAGAAGGTTTTTTATCTGTAAGCTAAAAGTTGGTTTGGTAAAAGAATAAGTATGAAAATTCCTTTGATGAAAGATTTTTAAAAAGAGAAATTCTAAAAATTGAATTTAAATATAGTTAAAATTTGGATTTTTTTATCTAATGTGGATCATTATGATCTAGTCATAGTCCTTGTATTTTTTCTAAGTGCCAGTCAGCAGCATCAACACCTGATCGGCAAAGCCACTCAAAGGAGGCAAAGGCTGCCAACAAGTGCAGGCCATTTGGCAAGCGGTCAGTTAACATTTTTTAAGGCTTTCGAGGTGAGCTCGTTTCCCGGCATTTCCCTCGCCTTTATCTCCTGCCCCATCAGCCAAACAAAACCCGAAATGAAACGCAATAAAAATGGAAGGAAATTTCACAAAAAAAAAGGCCAAAACACTGCGTAATCATTTGTGGTCATTTGCCTGCCAACTGACAGCCGCCAAGCGAGCTCTGCCTAGTAGTTTAGTTAATAATCATGTTTAAAATGCAGAAATTACTTTATATATACTTTATGGCCAGCAGCGGGGAAAAGCGACAGCAGAACGGGCCAAAAGCCAAAAAAAAAAAAGAAAAAAAATATGAAATAAAATAATAAGCCTTTGTTTGAGCATTTTGGCGCTCAAATATTGACTAATTTGAGCACGATTATTGTGATTTGGATGCGGGACCGAGTCGGGAAAGAAAGTTGGCCATCCCAGGCAAAGGAGACGTGCTCATATAACTGGCGGCCAGCCAATCATGGACGTGGTCCCCATGGATATATCATAGTATCTGCTGGATGTGGTTGTGGATGTGCATGTTGCGGGCACATGTATCTTCCCAGGCGAGCCGTGATGAAGATGCATGCGAATGTGAATTCGAATACGAATGTTTACCAAGGAGGAGGAATAGAGGTTGGGAGGATGGGTTGCAGCCATGGTAATCGCAATCGTAATCGTAGAAATTGTTAGCGCATTTTGGCCAATGCAAACAGCCTGAGGCGGCATCATTTAAAAAACATGATAGCATGATGGGTTTTATGTTTCGAGTGAGGAGTGAGGAGAGAGGAGACGATAGAGGATAACCGATTGTAGGCCATAAATAAAAACGTTTCAATAATTTAAATGTTTTTAATTAAGCTCACTCTCTGGCATAATATTTATTTACACATTTTGGTAGTGAGACAGCAGCCAATGATTTATTCGTGTATGCAAATTGCGGCAGACAAAGGGGAAAATTTACATAGTATGTGCAGAAATGTGGCAATTTTCGGCACAATTTCTTTGGTCTAAGCCTGGCCAAGATGATTAGCTTGGTCTTTTGTTGCGGGCGTTAAAATAGCAGCGAGGGGAAGAGAAAAATAGCATCACGGTAGTCAAAAGGCAGCCATAGTCTGAGATTAGTTTATGTGCAGGAATTTTTATATTGCGGTTACACAATTTTCTCCAACTTAGTTGGCTTAACCCCTTCTACTGCTACTCCTCTTTCCCACCCCCTTAAACAATCAATGAAAATCACACGCTGTTTGTGTGTGTGTGTTGGCTGCTTCTGCTTTGGCCGCTTTTTCTTGGCTCTTTCAGTTTGTCGCTTTGACTGCACGATTTTCCACGCATTTTTAACCCAAATACCGTGCTAAACGATTTTTTAATGTCTTCACTAACAAGTTTCAATTACCAATCGTCAAATGCGTGAGCATAAAACAGAAAAAAAACTTAAAACCAGTTGTACTTAAACCGTCATAAAACCACCACCAGCACCCCCTCTATCGTTGCTTAATCAATTAAAATAGTTCGCCTGATTTTCAAGAAAGCACAAAGAAGACTGAAAGAAAGACAATGTGTTTTCTGAGCGAGCGGAAAGGGGGGTGAAAAACCTGATGTCTTGGAGGACTTTGAGCCAAGTTGATACACGTACCGCAATCAAATTGCACTTCGATTGGCCAAAATGGAGCCATCAAGTGGAAAGCGGCAGTCGTAATCACATTTATTGAGATAAACGATGGGGCGTTTCGCGTTGCGTATACGCAGTGTGTCCATGCCTGACTGCCTGCCTGCGTGCGTGCACAATGTGATAATTGTGAGCGGGTTAAGTTAAAATGGGTTAATCATAAAGTTTGACACATATACTTAAAGCAACATGAACTTGCATACTTTCGGGAGTTCAAACTGCTTGAACTGTTAGGTAATCGTGATTATTAACAACTCTGGGTATTCAAATTGCTAAATTCCTAACCGACGCATAAATTACGAAAGCCATTCGAAAACCGCTCGTAAAACGCACACAAAACGCATCAAAAAACGCACGGGAGCTTGCAGCTGCAAATTTTTAATTTTTTTTCTTCTTTTTTTGCTTTGCAAATTGTCATCGTTAGCCAAGTGAGACCGTTGGCCATAAGGCAGTCGATCATTTCTCAGGCAGATAATTATCGCCCACCAGTTGAGAGCCGCCTGCCCCCAAAAAGAAACCAAACTAGCCGGATATGCCATGCCACTAGGTAGTAGTTGGTAGCGTTGTTAGTCAGTAGTAGTAGTTGCTGACCAATTGACCAATAGCTCAGCATAGTGGCAGCTGATAAGACTGCACCTGGGATGTTGCTTGGTGAATTTGGCTTATGCCTCAATTGCATGCAAATGCATAATTGAATCAAATGGCCATATCCCGGTCGCAGCAACTTTCGAACCCCGCCTAATGAAGTAATCAACGGCCGGCATCTCAAGCTTTTTGCTGCCATTGTCAATCAAAAGTCGCGTTTTTATTGCGCCTGCGTTACAAACCAAATCGCATCAAGATGTATTAATCATTTCGACCGCTGCCGCTGCGTTGGCGTTGGATACACTTAGAGAAAACACTGGATTTCTTGATCATTTGTTGTTAATATTTTTCTTAGATTTTTTGTAGGTCGAAAAAGACTTCGCTTAATGAAATTTGTTACGTTATTTCTTGAAAAATTCTTAGAAATATTTAGTTTATTCAAATCTATAGAAGAACATTATAGAAGAAAATTTAAGACTTAACTTAAAACTTTCTTCTTGATAGAAAAAGGTACCATATAGCTTGAGAATACCTTAAGATTCTCCGCTCTTGTTAAGGTCTGAAGTTTGGTAATTAATTTTTCCCAGTGCCGAGGCAACCGGCAACAGTTAGCAGCAACAACCAACAGGCAACAACCGGCAACGGCAATGCCATTGCTTTATCAGCTGGCGCAGATCTCTTTGGCATAGTCAGGCGTATGAAAAAAAAAACGCCAAATAACTACAGGCGAGACGGGGCATGATTAAAATGCGCAAAAATGGCAAACTCCAAATGGGCGCTGCTCGGCGGTAACGGCTACAACAGCAACGCCAACAACAACAACAACAAATACAACAACATTGAGAGCTACAACAACGGCGTGTGATGTACACGCGGCGCATTTCAATTCCATTTGATTAATGACAAAGCCGTAAAAGCAACTGCATGAAGGGGGCAAGCAAGCTAACGAAGATGTTGCTGATTGGCCCGTTGTCCGTTGTCTTTGCCACACAGCCGTCGTAGAGCACTCGCATTTGGAATCACATTCAAAAGTCTTCCGTTGCTGTTGTCAATTGTCGGATGCAATGATGCTGCTCAGGATTGTATACATTTTATATGTTTGACCATAAACATTAACCTAATGTTAGCCAAGTCAAGCCAAGCTCAAGACAGACAGCTCATAAAGCAATCAGAGCCACGAATCAATAGGGCCAGTAAGCTAGCAAGCAAAGCTGACTTGAAT